AAAAAGCACCCATTATATCGGACGACTGTTGGACGGTAAGCTAGCTGAACAAAAAATTAAATATATAATTTTATCCAACCAATGCGATTGATGTATAGCCTAAATATTTGATTATTTATTTTTTGCTTGCAAGAGATATATGGCGTTAATATATTATTCTGGTGCTTTGTGTTTCTATTACAGGGACGGGATCGAGATTGTTATACAAAATTTGCTTGGATATTCATAAAAGCTAACTTTTTTGTGATACAACAGTGTTGCAAATATCTAAAGTAGATTAAGATCTAGCGGCCTGCATCACAGGCTCGTTACCTACCACCCTCTTTGAATAAAAAAACAATACATCAATAGACTTCCAGCCAGCCTGTATTAAAATATTGAAATTCGAATCACAAATTTCTCATGTAAAAAACCAGATAAAAAATTAACTAAATTTTCCGCTCACCCAATATTTTTCGTTCCCGACATGGATGAATGGCGGACACTGCGATATTAATGGGATTAGAGGGGGTTATTGTTGATGCCCAATTGACACGATTTAGTATCTGATGCAATTGTGAAATATTGGCCGCAGTTAACCAAACGATTTGTTTATAAATCAGTTAATGACTTTTGAACATCGGTCGGAAATTAAGTGGTTACAGTGTGTCGCACGAGGTAGTATAAAAACTAAACTGCGTCAGTGTTAAGGCGCGTTCCATTTATGACATTTCCATTTATGATGTATTGTCATGTTAATTTGTATGGTAATAGTAATTAAAAAAAAATACACATAGGACGACACGATTAACTGTCGTCTTCGACTTTCTTAGCAGTGACGATATATTGACAAGTCAATGGGAAGGGCTTTAGCTACAGTCGTAAAACGATGTGTGACTACTTTATCGTTACGGCAAATTGTGTGTCGCTGTTGTGACTTATTAAAAAAATGGGTGCGTGTACTTATGTAGGCGCGTGAGAAGTTATCCTTCTTTGGCATCGTTTAAAATTAGTTTTTAATTGCATGAAAATAATTAATTACAATAAATTAATAAAAAGTCTGGAAAAGGACACAGTCAATAAAGTTCAGTTTTAATTTGAAAAATAAATAAATAATCAAAATATTCAATTAAAATCGCTACTGAATATAATTTATTAGAACATATGTGATTTGCACTTGTATGAAACTCAAACACGTATTCCGAATATACAAACTAGAAACATGTGGATAAATATTATAAATATGAATACCTATAACTGTTACTTATTACAAAAAATAAAGATGTGGTTTTTGGTTCTACTACACCAATGGTCAAGAGATGGCGCTGTAGTCTCCTGAATCGCGCTTTGGTTCCGTTGTTCCAGATTAATAAATACTTTTGATAGGCCTTCACAATGCAGTCGTTAGCACCCACTAAATAGAGATTCTATTTCTATTTTGTTGGTTGATTTTTTTAATGTGCGGTAAACACAAAAGTAACAGCATGAAGTTGGCCGCTAAAGCGACCAACTTCATGCTGTTAAAATTTTGTGTTACAGTGATGCGCGCGCATCTTAAAATTTCACTCTCATCATTTTTTCATAACGCACGGAAAGACGACTGCTGTGAACCATAATAATGTCGTCTCGATCTAATGGGAACCGCAAAATACGACAGTCTTTCACCGATAAAACAATTCGACGACACTATAACGATTAACAGTCGATATAATGGGAAAAGCTAGAGACGACAGTCATACAACGACAAAATCGTCGCTGCATAGTGGGAACACGCTGTTAGATGAGAAAAGACGGCATTACTTTTTCGACTGTCACATTAAAATCTTGTAGCAGCTAACTGCTTTGCAGGAACAACTTGAGCACTTAAATAATATTAATATATTTGTTAACTGGCGTAACGTGACTCGGTTTGCACTCCCTCCATTGGCGTGGTTTTGTCCAGATAAAGAAAATACGCCCATCCTGAACCTAAACTTTTGATAACTTATTGATGTCACGCTAATATTATAAAGGCGGAAGTTTGTGAGTGTGTATGTTTGTTACTTCTTCACTCCTAAACGGCTGGAGCGATTTTAATAAAATTTGGTATGGAGTTAGCTGACACCCTGGATTAATTCATAGGCTACATTTTACTGCGGAAAAATATCCCTAATAAACTGCGGGTAACACCGCGGGGCACAGGTAGTTTTTTAATAAATTAGGGGAAGCCCCTGCAGTAGGGACATTGATAGGCTGATGATGATGATGATATTTGTAATAAGTCTTCATAGGTATAGAAAAATTAATTAAAATCAATGAATAAGCTCAGATCTAGAATACAACTCAAAATAAGTAGGAGATACTTTGGGTTAATATCTTCATGCATATATTTAATGTGGCATTTAGACATTCGTAAGCGTGACCTCTGTCCGAAAGTAGAGGTCACTTCTTTTCACTCGCTACCGTTCGTACTTTGTGTCTTTCCCTTCATCTACTTTTATACAATCTTCATAATGCCCATCGATTTTCGAAGTACTCCTTAACCTTGCCTTTTTTTGTTGTTACAATGTTTTGTGCTTAGTCAACAAACTTTGTTAAAGCTTTTTCCCTGTTTATGATGTCGATAGTATTTCCATAATTTAATATTTTCAAAATGTCACCCATTCAAAATAAGTAATTGATAAATATCAATAATATTTGACAAATTATTGAATGTATCATTTTAGTACCTACTTATTATAAAAAGTCTTGCATCATATTACAAATCGGACAAGTGCGAGTTGGACTCACCCACCGAGGGTTCTATACAAAGGAGATTGCTCAAATTGGCCCAAATGTACAAAAAATATTAACATATACGGTAATTCTTGGCGTAATTTATACTTTATTTTACAGTCATTAGATTTTACCGGACACCTATAATATATTCATTTTAAAAAGGACTTATATTTTTACCGGTTTGGAAAACATACGAATCACTTTCAATGGCTATGGGAGTAGTAACATTCAGCCTAAGAGTGATCGAAGTTGTTTATATAACATCAAAACAATGTTATGTAAAGATCGATAAAATAAAACATTTTTTTTATTACACTGTGGTATTAATATCCACAAGTATATTATCATTTTTACTACATGCAAATGTGCTAAGACAAATATTATAGATGGTAGGCGACATCATAAAGTCTATTGCCATACATTTTTCGCCATTATACACTAAAAATCTAAAATATGGTTATAATATAAACATAACAAAAATAATAAGCTTTCTTTAGTTAACGAGAGCTTAAAAATTCTCTCTAATATGTGGCTCATTCACAAATAGCATACATTTTCTGTCACAGAGTACCTTATTATAACCGGAAATGCATAGATGATACCTGATTTTAAAAGTTACTCTTATGCATTAACTTTAAAAACAGGCAACTATCTATTAATCTACATGCTTTATACCTGAATCTAATACTAATTTCGTTACTTATTTGTTTTTTATTATTTTAATACCTATGTACCTATTTGCAAACAACCTCAAAATCATTCAGTGTATAAGGTTTATAGAAGTTCTCAGGGGTGTCCGTCAATAATATTCGTTTCCACAGTAATTTATATATAATTTCGAATCTAGGAAACAATTTTTCATGATTATTGGTCTTTAGACCAAACACGTATGGAAGCTGAGCAATCTCCTTTGTAGGAACGCAACATAAACAGACATCTCTTTTATTAAAGTTAACTTAGAAATTTGATTTTTTACAACTTCAAGGGCTCGTAGACTTCAGAACATGGTTTAAATTTTATTTCCCGAGATAAAGGTTCTTGGCAGACAGACTAACAGACGGCCATATTTGTTTTTTCACGTTAACTTAGAAGTTTAATTTTATTACAGCTCTAAGGAACCGCAGACCTGAGTATATAGTTTAAATTTTAACTTGATACCTTTACACATTTCCAAGGGTTTTGATAGACAGACATACAGATAGACAGACAACAAAGTAATCCGACAAGGGTTCCGCTTTTTCCTTTTGAGGTACGGAGTCCTAAAAAGAAAAACAAGCTCACCGTAATTCAATAAAAGAATTTCAATAAAGACTACGTTTCCTACGAATTTAATAATTTGAAACATAGCCGCTCTCCATTTCTGATGAAGAGAAGAGCATGTACATAAATTTTGGAGAAATCTCCACCATTCCGTGCTGTAAAACCATTTCAAAAGGCAATGGCGTAATATCCTGAAACAAAACGAGTTGCCTTAAATTGCCAGTAGGTTGTATAATTTGCGTAGCTAATTGTCCAGCCCGACAATACTGTGGTAAGGTATCGAGTTACAAAACGGCTGTTTCTGACTGAATAAACAATGTAACTGGACGAACAATGTACCTAACATTTTCAGGTGATCAAAACTCATTGTATGTGCTTGACACTCAAAACAGTGGCATTATGTGGACACAACAACGGTTAAACGATTGAAATTTGTCTCATATTCAAATGCATGCTTAATAAACACATAGATAGTTGCTTCCTGCGTTTAAGCATGGAAATCGATTTGAACACATATCTTTATATTTTCGCGTGTTATAACAATGCTCATTTTGGAAAAAATCAATATTGCACTGCAAACTCAGTGTGTACTACTTAAAAGGCCTTCTCCCATAGGCGCGTTACTCTCAGACGATAATATCTGATGCGTCATTGAGATATCTGTTTTTAGTTTACTATGTATGAGAACGGCTACGAAGTTTCACACAGCTGCAATAATAACGACCCAATAGAAATATGAAAAAATAACGCAATAACGCATCTGATATTATCGACCGATAATAACGCGCCTATGGGCACAATGCTTTAAGATTAAATATCATCTGTTAAAACGTTTCTGCTCTGAAAGCAAATCGACCACAATCGTGTGCCTATAGATCAATTTTAATCAAAACATGTCTACTTGTCCTAGCTTACTAAAACAAAAATATTGCCCTTAACCTTTCTGCGAGCTTAATGGAGATTACAAAATAAATTTAATTTACGTTCTCGAAGTGGGTACTCACCGCAGTCGCCCTTGTACGCTGACCGCAAGTTGCTCTGCTCCCGACACGCAGTCGAGTCGAGCTCACACTGAGAAGGGTACGTTTGGCCGTCGTTCCCGCACACCAAGTCCGATTCCTGTCACACGAATTAACTGCTGGATTATAATATATTAAAACAGACTATTCAAATTAACACTTGCTACGGGTTGTGAATTTAAATCGTATGTCAAACATTTCTGTATTGTGTGAAGAAGGCAACCTTGTAAACGAGATAAAGAAGCGTTGCATTATTATTTATCTTAGTAAATATTTAGATCAGGGTAGAGGATACACAATTTGTCATTGAAAATTATGACACAACTTTAAGAGGATAGGGGTCAATTTGAACGGAACAGGAGGCAACGGTGCAAATGATAGTCAGGTATCGCAAGCGTCTATACCTATTTCTGTGATCTGTGCAGTCAATCAGGCGGGCCATTTGCTTTATACATAAAAAAAGATATTAACAGTGCAGATGTATGTGTTTATTTGTTGCAGATTATATGTACTTCTTATATAATATATCTTTATATCAACATATATAGATAAAATTTTACAATTTCATTGTTATAAGAGTACGAACCACACCTACAATTGGACGTGTTTCATATTTCTTAATTAATAGTACAGTCAGTAAAATAATAATTAGTAATTTTATTGTTAAAAAATATAAAATTACTATTTGACATTGTTTGGTACAAAATAAATATTCGAGACACACACCACAAATTACATTAAAGGTGTCGCCATCCGTTATAAGGTTTTGTGCTGGCAACTGACAACAAACTCCAATTTTACTTTCTCGAGAAAGTCCCTTCTGGTCGAACAATCATACTGAATGCCAACCTTTAAGCATCTTCAAAGTAAAAGATGATGGAAGAGGTGGAATTACTTCTCGGCCGGGTTCGTACGTCGGCTTTTACAGTTTCAATGAAATAAGTTGTTGACCCGAACTCTTGAACGCGATTGTGTAGTTAGGTACCTACAGGCAATTTTTATTTCGACTTGATAACTCCGTTCAAGACCAAAGCTTTTTTTCTTACAAATAACACCTTGTAATATTATGAAAGTTTAACTAAGCATTACACTTGATAGCAGTAAATCCGTATCACCCCTATTTACCGGCAGAGTTACTCATGTATAAGTAACTTTAGTAAATTTTAATAGACATTTACATGTGATTTTTCTGAAAGACTAAGGCCCGTATTACAGAATGACAACTAAGTGTTGATCTTTACTTGAGTACAGTTAGAAAGCGATGTCGCTATGTGCTTTAAACAACGACATCCCTTTCTAACTATGCTGAATCACTGAGAATCTTTCTTTAATACGAGCCCTAAAGTTTAATTCAGAATACGACGGTATTCAAAGTATCCATATTTAATTTAAAATTACAAAAAATATACAAGTATCCCTTTTCATTTCACTCTTGAGTGTGCATTACATACTCGACATTAATTTCAAAGAAACCTTTTGACCCTCTGCCGCGGCCGGAAGTCATCCAACAATAGTCCGCTACCACGTCACGTTGAGCGCAAATGATAACATATTATAACATTATTAGGTAGCAGGCAATTCGGCCGTCCTGTGGTCATATCAACCACTTTTTGACACTCCACTTTAGTCAGGAGACATGCTCAATACAACAATTGTCCGCTACTACCAAGTTGGGCGCCAATGTGGTACATTATTATGTATTAACTCGGTAATGATATTTTATTACGTGACAGGCAAGGTACTTATAATAAATAACTCACAAGTTCCTTTGTGAAATTGTTATTGCATCGGCAAAAAGGGCGCTCTGTAGCTATATCAACAACCTTTTGACACTGCCACAGACAGAAGACATTTTCAATACAACAATAGTCCGCTACCACCACTTTAGGCAACAATGTAGATTATATTATTACGTTGCACTCGAGTTGCTTATAATAAATTACTCACCAGTGCCGCTGTGCAGTTGTGATTACATCGGCATATAGGCCGTCCTGTTGCTATATCGACTGCACAATCTCCCCCGCCTTGACATATTATGTCGACGCAGGATTCTGTAGACAATAATAAATACTTGTTAGAAAAGGTCTAATATATGTTTCGAAATTTCGACTTTTTATCAGATTTAATTGGGAATAATGGGAAAAATCGAAACACTTTTTGTTACATAAGTGTAAGTCTAATCCTAACAGAATGTGGTAGAGCAATTGTATACTGAATAAAATATCTATTTAAGTGTCGCGGAACTACCTTTTCTAAACAATTATTTAATATTTGACTATATTGATTCTGTTAACGTCTATAAAGGAGATTGTTTGTATGGAAAAACTAAAGCTACGGTAAAATCGATAAAGCTATCAAAGTGAAACGTACACATTTAGTTGATCTATTAACGACAATTAAAGTACTTTTTGTTTCACGATTGTCATTTTCGATAAATCACCAGAGCCATTTCAATTTCTAATTATCACTAATAGGTTTCAACAATTTACTGCTTCGTCTGCGTTCTGTGAGCAAAACAAATGATAATGTTGCATTCGCTACCACAGCGAAACAAGACGAAACGAAAAACACTTAACTGTGTTGAAAATTCTTAAAATAAGCGATACCTACTGCCACTTCAAATATTTTAGCGCTGTGAAGGGAATTTTTCCTCTTTATGGAGTTCAAAGGCGAATTATATTTTTAGCTGATCCGATTGGAAACTGTTATTACCGATGCTTTTTCATCTTGAAACGACTTTTTTCAGTTTATTTATAGAAACACTTAGGAATAGAATAATCGTGATTCATGTTGATCAATCAGTACTTTTCTAAAACTATTATTTTTTTCCATTATTAGAATGGAATTCGTAGAATTACGGTAGTTTGAATGAAATGTGTAGTTATGTTTAAAATATATTTTGCTGTTTTATTGATTCAATATAAATATTTTTCACAATATTTTAAATAGTTTCAAGGTGAAAGTTTAGTAAGTAATAAAAATCGCAGATATATATTTAAGTAGTAAGCGGTGTGCTTCAAATTGTATGTAAACCGAATGTGTCATATTATGAGTACTCGCGAGAACAAATTATGTGATAGAAAAGCAATGGCCCTGGCCACCTGTTTCAATTCCATCGTTTTTACAGCCCAATGTAGCGTCGTTGGACATTAAAAAAAAAGTGTCTGACGTCCGGTATCTAGAACGGTAAAGCGAAGAAATACAAAAGTTTCAAAGGAAGAGCTTTCCCTTTTGCCATGTTTCTGGCACGCAAAGCAATTACGTTATCTGTTTCGATTTATGTATGTATGTGATAATGACAGTTTTTCAATTATGTTATAATAATGTTGTGTGATATTTTAAATGGTTTTGTGATGATAATGTAAACCTTAATTTACTTGTTTACATTAATTGTTCAAAAAGTTTCAACGTTGAATTCATTATTCTGTATACCTACCTATTTAATGGAAGGAAGAATTCGACTGGGATCAGGACAAAAACCTATATTTCTATTAATATTTTATAACGGAAACATAAACAGGTGACCTCATTGTAATTTTCCCGTCGCAATTCCTCGAAAAGAACATTTAACCAACCCCTCCATCGCGTTGTTGATGACACATGTTTTGATGATGCCACCATTTCTATATGAGTATACTCACGGCATGTCCCATTATAAAGTACTCGCAGCTCGCCGTCCTTTATTCCTTCCTGGCATGCATGCATGCGCATTTTACATTCGCTTCCGTATGTGTTGTGGTCGGATGCACAGATGGGCACGAGCGTTGCGTCGCAGACTGGGCAAGCGCACTGCGCCGCACCACCTCGTGAGACGCACGCGCCACCCCAAGGGCAAGTGGCACGGGCACATGGGTTCTCAGCACCTTAAAGGGGCAAAATAAATATGGATATGAAATAAATTGTTATTTAATAGGTCGTCAATACTGTGAGCATTTTAGAAACGGTGTCGTATATGGTCGTACTACAACTCTATTTTAAATCCTGACCAATTCAAAAACAAACAGTTTCATGACTTAAGGATTATGAAGGTCAGGAGAAACCATGTAACCTATATCAATTTAAAAATCATTATTGGTAAGAAAAAGATCTTTATCATTTCCACTTATTCAAAAGTAGACAACACGCTCTAAACAGTTTCACGTGAAAGAAACTACAACAGTTGCGATCTTAACTTCCCTTCGAGTTACTCAAACTTACCACATGGTCCGATGTAAGCCACACGTATGTCCCTGTTGTCCAAGCACGCGGCTCTGTCGAGAAAGCACGCGCTCTCATAGGTCTTCCCATCGGTACCGCACACCGGCCTCACTACAGGCTCGCACTCAGGACCGCAACCGCACACTGCGACACCGCGCACGTCCAACGAGCATCGTTCTCTGACCCCGCACTTTACAGACTCGCATGGGTGTTGAGCTAAGTGAAAAACTTTTGATTTCACAACTTGTATCGGTCAGTTAAGACTCGATAATGTGCGTACCACCTATACTTGAACGTAGCATAAAATACAACGATCTGTTTGGGTTGATAGACTCAAAATAAGTATCCGTAAGGCCACTAGTGCTTAACGTAGCATAGAAAAGCGTACAATAAAATTATCCGGTTGAGTTTAATAATCAAAATAAGCACACAGATAAAAAAATATAAATCCTAAGAAGCCCTATTATTATCTTTATCTACTCCCATGCTTTAAAACCTGTAGTAATGATTCTGAAACAGCTTATAAACAAAATAAAACATCGATGTCTGAATTAAAAAAAAGTTGTACTGAACTTCGTAATATCAGTCCTTCGCTTTTTAAATCCCTTTCGCGCCAATGGGCTTACTCATCAGACAGCCACAATTTTCACTGCTCTATGCGTGGAATAAATGAATTTCCACATTCGTGTTTTAATATCTCTCATACAACAGTTGCATAAATAACTATGCTAGACAATCAGATCAGTCTCCCTATATTTTAGAATTTTGTAATTTAACAAAGCATGAGAAATCATATTATTAGGATAAATTTATGAAGTTAAGTAGGTACTACGACATTCCTGACGACGGGGAATCAACGGCTAAAATATTACATTACTTTTTAATGTGTACCTTCCTATTATTGTAATAGCATTTATTTGCCTACTGGCCTGCTTAACTTAACCACTTGGTTCAAGGCAAAGTATATGCAAACCTCTGCGACAAATAGCTACAGGAATTCCGTAACCGTTACACAGCCAATAGGACAAATCAGGCACTTACCTGATGCGCATTCTCCTCTATATGCTATAGTGAGCTGTTGTCTAGTCCGGCATGATTCTCGTCTCAGGGCACATTCGCTCGGGTAATCTTTGTAGTCCGAACCGCATACTGCCGATCCGGGACGTGCGACCAAGTCGCATGGCGGGCCGCATCGGCAAACAGGCGCTCGAGCCTCATTCAACTGGCATATACCTCCATCGGCGCATTCATGTTCTGAGCACGGATCTGTGTCATTGCAAGTAAATTACATTGAGTGGCTATTGAGAATTTGGTCTGTAGTTTTTTTTTTATGAAAAAACCTTTACCAACATAAAGAAACGAAAACGAAAAGTCTGTTTCAGGCGTCTCGATCAAGAATAACGCAAAGAGGATTTATTTAAATTTTCAAGATTGATTTATTTTAGGAGCAAATAGCATTTGTAGAAAGAAAAAACCTATAATTACATCGGTATAATCAAAACACAGATATTATATCACGTATTATTAAAACATCGATGAGAAGATACCATTCAAAAGAGACTGATTATTTTAAGGAAACTATAAAGAAATATTCAGTTTGAGTAAATTCCATGAAAATAAATGATCGCATTAGTATTTCACTCAGGCGGGCGCCTCGAAGTGAGTCAAAGAATTCCGTAGAGCAGCGCAGAACTGTAAGATTTATTAAAAGTAGAGTAGTGAACTACAAAAGTAAACAGAATCTCACAAAGGATTTCGCAATGTGCGGTCTTGTACAAATTTAGTTCAGATCGAATGCTCCACGGGCAAGTTTTGTGAAAAGGGTTAACAAAATGTATGTACCTACATAATAAAAAAGTAAAGAAGATTAAATTTGTTTTATGGAAAAGGAAGTAGCCGACCCAATTTGGACTTTGTAAAGAAAACATCTTCGTTTGTTAAAGTTTTTGTGTTTTTCCTTTTATTTACTTGTTACCAACTGATACAATTTAACAAGAGTATATAATACAGAAAGTGCTCGAAGGCGCGGGTGGTTAGCGCGTTCGGCTGCGATCGTTGAAGTTAAGCAACTTTCGCAGTGGTCGGTCATTGGATGGGTGACCAAAAATCTTCTATCTCGAGTTTCTCCGTGCTTCAGTAGGCACGTTTAGCCGTTGGCCCGGCTGCATGCGCAGTCGTTAGCACCCGCCAATCCGCACCGACCCGGCGTGGTGGGTCATGGCACAATCTCCCTATTCCATCCATAGGGAAGGCCTGTGCCCAGCATAGGGGACATTAATAGGCTGATGATGATGATGATCTAACACATAGCAACAGTTCGTTGTAATTAATATTTTGGTAAGTAAAAAACGATAATTCATCATAACATCCCTTATTTATGAAGGTTGATTCATTCTTAACGAGGTCTTTTTATAATTTCGAACATCAAGCAACAATACAAGTCAACTGCTTCAATTAATTTTCCTCATTAAAATCTGGAGGCTGTCGGCGTTTCTAAGTGACCAAATTTCTTCTTGAATTCTATTAATCATCATTTTCTGTATTCTAGACGCTAATAATGAGAATTCATGAATGTAACCTTTTTAATATCTATATGTACATAGGTAGTTTAACTATGGTCTATAATATGACAATTTGATATAAATATTTCCGCCTATGATATACTTGCGTCTGCCCGCGACTATATCAGTGTTAACTTTGGTTTTTTGAGAATCCCACAGAAACCTAAATATTTTTTCCTGGAAAAAGTATCCTGTGTCTTAATCTAAGTCACAAACTAGGTATATGCGTATCAAATCATCGAAATTCGTTCAAACATACAAACTTTCACATTTATAATATTAGTAGGATGATGAGCTATTTCGTATTAGGAGAATCCACATTCTTTGCATACTAACTAGCACGATTTGAATTCATGCCAATGCGACAGGGGGGACATTCGAATGATATGCAATAAGTGTCTATTAAAAAATGCACAAAGCCTAAAATAGGCAACTGTCCTCCCACAGAAGATACGCGATTTTTTTTTAAACCAGACAGTTTTTTTTAAGTTAACGTTGTCAGGCGAGTTATAAAAAGTTGGCACTGTATTCCCAAAGCGAGATACAATAGGCTGTTTTTTAAGAAAGATAGGACTGGCGTCACAATATCTAACCATTTTATTAATAAAGAAAAATGAAACTTGGAATAGAGTCTTCCGTCGTATTAATAAACAAGAAAAAGTCATTACTTCTGCTAAAGTAATTACTTGAGCAACATATTTCATTTAATACCTTAAGAAACTAATCAAAATAAGATGTTTTATTGAAACATTCTAGTGTCATGTAAAGACTTGGTCAGTTTGCTGGGTAATTTTGATTATAAAGTTATATCGCAAACAGTGTTGCCAACTCGGATTTTGAAAAAAGCGTAGGCCCGATGAGAAAATTACGTAGAATTGGTAAATTTTGCATATGAAAAGTAAGTAGATCTACGTACTTTTTTCTGAGTGTAATGAAGAAGTTATTTGAAACCGAATAAAACGAGTATTTTGTTATACAATTTGTTTAAGAACGGGAGATAGAACGAAGAGTTCTTGGAGAAGTCGCTGCATTGGAAGCATTTACCATGCTGTGGTAAACATTTACCATCAGACACAGACACTGGTGGGTGCCGATTCTGGATGGTTCTCTAAATTTAAAACTTAATTTAACATCAGTCTCTCCTTTTCATTCTGTATAGAGAATGACAAGGATAAACTGTTGTTAAATGGGCTAGTTGACACTTTTTGGAATTATGTTTTAAATTGTTAATAATTATTCTATCAGAACGAACAAAATTTTTTTTTTACCTAGAAGACATACAAAAACGCTCTTTAGTCTATAGACTTATCTATGCTATGGCGCCAAAACATTTGTAAACAAACACTCGCAAGCAAGTAGGAAATAAACTTTCTAAGTTAATATTATAAAACCATGATTTCTAATAGATCACATGAAAAATATAGTAGTTATCATGATACACTTGGTAAAAGACTCTAGAAAAGTTATGGTTTAAATTGCCAAGAGAAAAAACATACTTACACATGAACATATGCTTAAAACTTGCTAAATCCTGTAACTTTATCGACTGAAAGTCTTTTCTTTTTGCAAAGATCAATTCGATGTGAGTAGGTACTCATTGATAATAGTAAAAGTTTAAAAATACAATTTCTAAGGTTATGAATGTACCTACTAAGTCAAAGACTTTTGTCGTTTCTGCTTTCACAAATCCTGCGTCCAGCATTAATTTAGTCAACAAAACCAATAACGGGAACCTTTTCTACAAGATGCAAGAGTGTTTATATACATCTTCTTAAATATTCAATATAAAATATTCTTCTTTATTCTAGTGAATTAAGTTATTTTACAAATTTGAAAAAAATTAAGAAAATACGTAGATTCTGGGACTTAAGTTAGTAGGTTTCCAGAAAAGGCCTAAAATACGTAGATCTATGTAAAAAGACGTAGAGTTGGCAACACTGATCGCAAATAAAGTGTTCCTTTCGATATCAACAGAACAAAAAATTTTAACGACGTCTACCTACTAGATACTAATACCTACATAGTGAAACAATACAATCTTACATCTTGTCTATTATTGAATTCATATATTCTATTTTATTCATAAAATAGGCTCAGATAATTCACAAATGAAGAAATTAAAAAAAAATTCGTGGCAAGAAAAAGTTATGCTTACCGCATTTTCCGTGGTACTTGACAGTGATGTTGTGTTGGTTTTCGCACGCATGCTTGTCGAGGTGGCAATTAGACGGGTACTCTCGCCCGTCGGTGCCGCACACCGGCTTCCGTCTTTGACAGCTCCTCGGACATCGGCACTCGGGCTGGCCAGCTGTCACGACGCACCTCGCGCCGGGCGGACAGCCCACTCCGGTGCAAGGGTCCCCGGCTTCTGCGAAACGGGAATGGTTATGGACTTCACCCACAATTATGCAGCTAGTAGTATCATAAGGTCAAGCTATTCATGTTTTGATATAATTGGCGACTAGCTTAACCATGAAGTCGTTGCTGAGTCTATAACTGAGCTGAGCTGAGTTTGGCAAATTACATCGCTTCTATGGGTGTAAAGTCGAAACAATGTGAGTTATTGTATTGGGTTGGTGTGTCAGATATAAAGGTACGTATCATTCTATCCAACTTCGATATGCAGTCCTTCAATATATTTTTTTATTACTAAAATGCTATAGGTATATTAAAATGATAATAATAATACTTATACAACTAATAAGTAACATTAACATAAAAGTGTGTTATTGTGACATTACCATGAATCATTAGGTATTTTATAAAATACAGTACTGGACACTTGAAACATAATAATTTATTCAAAAAGCTGTTTCATTGCTGATTAACTAAAAAAGTATTTTCTTTTCAAAATTACCACGTAATTTTGTTAATATTTCATTAACTTCAATCATCTGTCTGGAAACAGTAAAATTTTCATACGCCTCTTGCTCAGTTATAATTATAACGGCAAGAGGTAAAACGTGTTATACTTAATTACGAAATTCAACGACAAACTGGAAAACGCTTCGGAAGGAAAACGCAAATAAAACTTTTCCACAAAATAATATTGACAGTTTAACTTCATTGAACTTTGAAACCGTAGCTCAAAAATCAATTTTGTAATATATTATAGAGATTTCATTGTTTGGGAGGTATATTTTGAATCTTAAATTAAGTCGCATATTTTTTGTTTAAAAATAACAGGCTTTCGCAAGCATCTCTTCTTAGTTAGTAGTGGTTGCAGTTAGTTCGACTGGCAGTGGAGCAGACTGGGACGGCGGTGGAACGGTAGCTTATCGGAGTCATCAGTAGTAACATTAAACCTGATAAATCAAAAGCAATCTCTATCTTTCTACACAAAAAGTACTCACCACATTCTCCTTCGTTCCTGACTCTCAGATTGAGTCTTCTATCGCAGGCCTCTTTTCTCAGATAGCAGTGGTTGCGGTAAGTTCAGCCGGCGGTGAAGCAGACAAGGGCAGGGGTGGAAGGGTAGCTAATCGGAATCATCAGCAGTAACAAAAGACCTGATAAATCAATAGCAGTCTTTCTTTCTACACTAAAAGAACTCACCACATTCTCCTTCGTTCCTGACCCTCAGATTAAGTCTTCTTTCGCAGGCCTCTTTTCTCAGATAGCAGTGGTTGCGGTAAGTTCGGCCGGCAGTGGAGCAGACCGGAGCGGGAGTTGAAGGACAGCTGGTGGGACAGGCGCAGTGGGCTCGACCGTCCCCCAGTGACACACATTCCGCTCCCCAACGGCAAAAAGTTTTTTCACACGCTTCTGTGAACAAAATAATATAAATGATTTTCGATTTTTGTTTTCAAAGTATAGTAATATATTGGCCACCTTTCATCAAAGTACGAGAAGCAGTGCAACTATTTTTGATGATAAGTAACTGTTTTTGTTATGTTATTAATGTTGTTTCTTGCATAATGCATTATTTTTTGAGAGCCTACCCGGTATCGCAGAACTTTTAATGTCATAATATTTTTATGCATATCAGCGTATGGCATCAACTTCATTTCACACAAAATCATTAGACATTCGCTCATTTAGCAGACATTCAAACGCTTAATTTTGTATGCAAGAAGCATCATTACAATGAAAATAGTTTTGAGATAAGTACTTATAACAAAAAATGTTGTTACCCATTACATAAAAATAGTGACTGCCTAACTATAGTTTCTAGTAGACAAACTCAGTTTTGTTGAAATAGTTTTTTGTTATTATAAAACAGTTATGTAATATATTACGAAATTGTTTTGTTAATTCTTACACTTGTTCAGTAATTGGTTACAAAATTTTTGCTTCAGTATAGCTTTACTATAAGGCTATTTTCAAACGAACTATTTTGCTATCTGCAACATAATTATCTGATGAATTATAGTTGTATATTGTTATCCTACTTGCAAAAAGTACTTTTCAGTTTAAAAACCCTGTACGTACTACTTACCAGCAAATAAGTACTGTGAGTTAACAGGGGATTGAGGTAAACATAATACCCTGGTTCTCAATTTATTTTCAAGTACAAATTTGCACAAAACAATCTCTATAGCGCAATTCACCGGATGTACCACCACACATTTAACAAATATCTGTAACCGAACTTTTTGGCTAACAGTTACATCACTTTTCATTTATTCATTGTGGTTTTTGTGCTTGCTAATAAATAGCACAAAATAGTTGTAGTTAGGCCAACTCTCTGTAAATACTCACCACAACTGTGTTTGATTATAAAAAAAACGATGGGAGTGCCGGCAAAACTTGAATATTAACGTTGTGCATTTTTGATATTTTGGAATGGTTAGGGAATAATTTTGCACGAATTGCTTTAATTATCAGTATAAAAGTACTATTATTTATGTGGTAGAATAGAATATTTATTTATTGCGCTATCGTAAACAAACATGACAATTTATATTACATTAAAAAGTTTATCTCTCAGAAAAATCAACTTACATGAATCACACTTAAGCGCACCTAGCGACATCTATTGTAAAAAATGCATTTTTTCGCAATAAAGCTACCACCTGGACGTCCTAGATAGAGACTTATTATTATAATACGGTAAAATAAAATATTACTATGTTTCGTCCAATATATTGAAAGTCAACAACCTTTCCAATTTTATTGTTTTCGTCTTACGAATTTTCGATCAGGTCACGTGTCCTGTCGCGAATTTAATATTTTTTACCCATACAAAAAAAGTGAACAACGCCGCTAAAGAAGTTTTCACTTCAAAATACATAGTTATGTTACAGATTATCGAAATCGTATTTGACAGCTTATAACAATTTTTTTTAATAGTTTTAACTAAAATCGAACAACTGAAATGATGATGTAAAATGCAACAATACAGTTGGTCTATGAGTGACTGAAATTAATTTATTAGTAAAAAAAATTTGGTTATTCATCGGTTAACTTAACTAGTTTTATAAATTACTTTTTGCAGTGCAGGCAGAAATTTAATGGCTCAGTAATTAAAAGACAGAATCATCATAATGCAGAAAGTTCACAGTCAATTTCGGAGTAAAAAGATTCTGCGAGATAGAGGGAACCGTATTTGGATTTTTTACGCAGGTGTATCAGATAAAACTCATATCCAGTAACAGGCAAATAAAATTTAAATAAAAGAAGTTCTATTGTATTCACTTTCCTCTCTCCTTGTTGATAAATTAATAGTAGGGTGGGAGCCCAAGTGGAGATTTTTGGATTTACTCGAGCGCGGCAGATAAATATATGGTGACACCTTGCCCCTTGTGAAGTACTCCCACCATACCTGAGCCCTCCATGTAGAGACGAACGTCTAGGGCAGCAAAAATTATAAATACCACGACTTTTGGTCGCCTCCAAATCGTTAATCTTTTTAATAGGAGGTACAGAAAAAATCACCTAAGTTTTTCTAGATATTACAATAACATTATAGGAACCTCTACAGAATGACAACACAAGGCTGCTGATTCTGAATGGCTGTAATAAATTTCTTAACGCGGTATCTAGAAAAATCTTCCAAGTATACGTAATTCGTTGGCTACGCGGAGAATGACACAATTCCCAATTTTCCACCTGGGCTGTGACGAAATTATTAAGGAGAACGGAAATAAGATGCGAACATTCGTTTGTGTTACGCATTTGGGAGCGAATGATCTCTATCGCCTAGTTAGAATTCCGGGCAGATTTCGTTGGGCACGAACTCGCACAGCGGTTGACAAAAGTTAATTTACGATTTTCTTCTCGATTTCAAAGTTGGACCGCCGTCGATTCTGAACTGAAGCTTTATTGGTATCTCGCACGATAATTAATACTTATTTAATAGGGGCCAAAGAGTTACAGTTTATTATTTATTTTTTATAAGTAAATATTAATATTTAAAGGTTTAAGACGTTTAACTTTACTCCCAATGAAAATTGTGAAACAAGTAATAGTTTGGCGATGACTGTTGCTATTATTGGAAATAAGAATTTTATTCTATTGGGGAAGATTTTGATGTGAAAACTTCTTTAGCGGCGTTGTACACATTTTTTTTTATGGGTAAAAAATGTTAAACTCGCCTCAGTAGAAATATATTTTTTCCAATATAAACGTTGGAGGTCGATAAATCTATTAAAGTATGAATCTATCTGTGGTATTGTAGTTTTCTAATGATTTGTTGGCAAGGAGATAACTTATTTTTAAATGTTCTAAGAAAATATTTTCGTTCGTTTGACTGTTCGATGTTTAAAATAAAAGCAGAATGAATGAATTACGTGTTTTAGAACACGAATTAAATAATCATCATCAAAAAAATACAATTGGTAAGTTAACCTAACCTTTGGGTTAACAGCTGTATTTTCAGGTGACCTTTTTTTACATAAAACATTTTCACCTAAATAATATATACAAATATTCACACCATATTTACAAAGAAGGTACTACAGTTAAATCATAACTCTGCAGCCATATATCAAGTAAACCATATTACAATCTATGATACAGATTATAATAGAGTTGCCAGTAACAGCAATGATGATGGATTGATGATGAACATAGATGATTCAATGATATGAACATCAGCTCTTTTCTGGTTGTTGAATAAATGTCAGCATCTTCCGAACTCTGAGTCGAAATATAATAGAAGAATTTATTTCACTAATCTCGTAGCATTACTTACTGGGAGTATATTGGATGACAATTATCTACCGCAAAATTATTATTATTATAAGTATTTTTATATACAAAGGACAATGGGCAAAACACACACAGGACCGCCAACAATGTAATTAGTATGAATCGATAGATCTATGAAAATGTACCCTTTTTATTACGACACCGTAAATAAATATCCGGAAGAGCTCGATGGCGCAAGTGGTTAGCGCGTTCGGGTGCGATCGTTGAAATTAAGCAACTTTCGCAGTGGTTGGTTATTGGATGGGTGGTCAAAAATTTACTATCTCGAGCTCCTCCGTGCTTCGGAAGGCACGTTAAGCCGTTGGTCCCGGCTGCATCTGCAGTCATTAGCACCCACCAATCCGTACTGGGCCCGCGTGGTGGGTCATGGCCCAATCTCCCTATTCCATCCATAGGGAAGGCCTGTGCCCCAGCAGTGGAGACATTAATAGGCTGATGATGTGATGTGAAATAAATATCCTAGCAGTCAAAAGATATGACACATAGGCATATTTAAGTAGCTAAATAAGTTCAATTTATAGTACCTTCATTTTATATTATTAGTAACCATAATAATATGCCATATCGTACTGTTTAACCAGATATATGACAAAGCCTGCCGACCATCCTGCGCTCACATAGGCACCTCAGAACGGTTTACGGGGGTTGAAAGACTTGCAGTTGCAAATAGTCAACTCGTCTTACTTCGTTGTGACTGTGCGATTCCCTGTCACTTAATTATTTTTTATCTAACACGCTTTGGACATTGGAACACGAATATCGGTTTTATCAATTAATATGGATGAACTGGAATCATGTTTTCTCCGAAGGCCTGAACAAGTTTGTATGATTTATGGTCGCTCCGTTTTACATAGAAGACAATTTACTATAACGAACGGAATGATTGAAAATAACGCCAACCCATGCGGGGATTTTTGGATTTACTCTAGCGCGACAGAATAACATATGGGGGCACCCTTGCACCTTGTGAAGTACTCCCATAATACCTGAGCCTCCTATGTAGGGTCGAACTACCTAACTAAATTAATTTCCTTGTTTCATGGATCTTCGTTCGTTATAGTACCTACTTGTTCCTATTCAACTTAAAATAACTAAATACCCCCGGGATAGAATTTGATGCGCTTTGGCACAGATGATCATGACGATAATACCTTTCAAACACCTGTAGTTTAAGTCGTAGAAGACCTGGGTGCAGTGTCCTAACATTTTTGCCCAATGTCCTTTAAAGCGAAGTCTAAGCTTCGAATGATCGCAATAAGAAAGTTATAAATAGATTGAGATTACGATGTTATAATAGAGATGGAAATCTTATCTGTAATATGATGAGGAATCCTACGCTTTTTTCATAACACCGTTTGTTTATGAATATGAAAACATTTGAACTGCGTGATCCGTGACGGACTTGCAACAGTGGCGAAATATTGGAGATTTACAAAAAAAGGTAGGTGATAGCAATGCCATAAATGATTATAAGGAGACTATGAAATTTTAAAATGCCACTCGACTAATATAAATATTTGAGTATTATTCCTTTTCTTTCAGCAAAATAATAAGTATTTCTTTCTCTTGCTTCTCTTGATTTGATTGACATTCTAAAGAAACTTAATAACTTTGATTATAGCACAATTGACTTGAAACCTTTTGAATCACAGAGGACGTCAACATTTTAAGCGACTATGAAACCCTTAAAAAGATTTTTCCGTAGCTATTTTGATTGTAAATATACATTTCAAACTCAAGAAAATCTTGTTATTATTATGGCATTTCCAGACAGTTCTGCGAGATAAATAAAATCATTTACACTTGAATTGATTCCGCAACGAAACTGATCTCCAACGTGGCGTGTGGAGGCGTCGATTTTTATTGTATCAAATTGAACCTTTCTGAAAGAGGTCAAACATTGGAATACCGAATAACAGAGCGCAGAGTCATTTCCTTGATTTTATATAAAGGTTGTAGACGAATCCGCTTAGAGGAAAGAAAGCAGCCGGAAATAACAATTTCGTAAGAAACAAACAAAATGTTTGAACCTGAATTGCTACACGCGAGAGGCTCGAGATAAACGGAGACAAGGGGGGAGATAAAAATGATGGCGGATGCCTGTGAATGAAAGAAAATTAGGAAATTCGCTGCGACTCTCTCTCTCTCAAGCAAGAAATGCCTTTTGAGATTACCTATGGCATCCGAAAATAAATTGTTCTATCGTGTGTAAGGGCGTAGTGTATATATTCCATTTATTGGCAGATAAAGATTTACTTCACTTACTTATTTACGGAATCCTTTGAATGTTTATCTATTAATAGCATGAAAGCTAAGCATACCTTGTCCAGCTATAAGTTCTGTTACAAATGAAAATGATTTTTTTTGTAATGAAGTAATGTATTATTATTAGAATTTATATCAACATAATGACACTTTATGGTCAGCAAAAAATAAAAAATATTCAATTCAAGATGGCCACCTTCGGCTTTTATACAGACCTTTAATCTGTTTGGACACGATTCTATGGATTTAAACATTTTTTCCACAAGAGAAATTTCATTTTTAGCTCCAAAAATTTTTTAAGGGACAATGTCACCGTGTCCTTTAGAGTAGACCATGTACTCTTAACTGACCATAATTTTAAGTCTAAGGGGATAAGGTCTAGGCTAGATGAGGGCCAGTCTTCAGCTCTTATAAAGTCCGGAACGTTGGTTTCAAACTAGGCTTGGATAGTTCGTGCCTTGTGACCAGGTGCAGAATCCTGCTGGAAAGTCCACGGTATATTTTTAAAAAGTGTATTACTGAGAGGTTTCGCAACATGATCCAAAACTATATCTTGATACACTTTGGCTGAAGTTTTCACTTCATTTTCACAAAAAAATTAGGTATTTTTGTGACTCCTTGATAAGACACGCCCCACCAAACCATCACTGACCACGTTGTTCAATTCCGACTGCTTGAGCAGCTTCTTTAGAACTGTGAGGGTACACTTTATCATTCTGCTTATTGTAGTGTTCTTCAATCGTGAAAATGTTTTCATCGGTAAAGAGGATATTTCTGTGCTTGTCACCTGTGTATCGCGACGGCGTTTTGATCGATCCACTTTCTTTAATTGTAAAGATTGATTAGGGCATGTCCTGTATATCGACGATGAGCACCTAACTTCAGTTCATGTTTTATAATACGCGACAGAGTTCTAGAGGGAATCTTCATTTCTCGCGATAAGATTTCATGCTTCTTTCATGGGGTTTCGACGAATTCTGGCTTTAACAGCTTTTGTAGTTCTAAGAGCACGCGGCCGCCCCGACCTTTTCTCGTCTTCGACAGAGGAAGTGTTGATAGTACGATATACGAACATACGGCTACCAAGCTTTTGAAGTGTCTGGATTATGACAATCGGCGCAATACCCACTTTGTGCCTTACATTAAAACAAAAAGGGTAGATACGGTACGCTCATACTTGCATCAAACAAAAACTGATCCCACGGCAGCGCAAACAAGACGACGAGATCCGCGTCACTGCATTACCGACCAATCAGGCGACCAGTACTCGACGTCACTACCGAATAAGATTCAAAACAAACAACAATTTTTATGAAAAAATATATTTTATAGTACTTACGAATGAAAAGTGATGCCGTGGGTTTTATTTTCAGTTCTTGAGCATTTTGAGCACTTTTTAAAAACACACTAAGGGATTGTTTTCATTCATTTAAACACAAAATATTAGCAATATTTATTTTTGACGTTCTCATGTACGTCGTTTGCATGTCAAGTTGTGACTAAAGCGATTAGGGTCGTGGACCACAATTGGTGCGGATCACTTTTGTGAGGCTAGTGCCGTATCTACCCTTTTTGTTTTAATCTAAGCTTTGTGCATGGCGATCACTGCAATCCTATTTTCTTTAACACCTCGTTCCATATTATAAATATATGTGAAATGGCGCAAAATCGAAAGAAGTTTTAAAAATTATATACGTGTCCCAAATCCAAATAATTAAAAAGTTGAAAAAAATTAAAGTTTTTACGTATCAGTATTTATGGCCATTGTTAGTATTTTAGCACAATGACGGATGAAATCATTTTATGTTTTGTGCCATTTTTTTTTTCATTTGTTTAGTGGCTTTCTTGAAATATTTTGTTGTAATGTCAAGTACTTATTCATTCATTTCGTTTTTCTTTTTATGATTTGTATCACACAATTCTTACATTATTTCATTTTAAATTATTTTTAACGTTTGGTACGTTTTCAGTTTGATACAGTTTGCAAAGTTGGCAGGTGGCAAATAAGTTACGATTTTGACGACCTCCGTGGCCGAGTGGTTAGTACGCCGGGTTTCATGGCGTCGCCGACTCGAGAGGTCCCGGGTTCGAATCCCGGTGGGGGCAGATGTTTGTGTGATAAACACGAGCATTTGTACTCTAGTCATGGATGTTTAATATGTATTTCTATATAAATATACTTATATATGTAAAGTATATGTATTCTGTCCGTTACCCTAGTATCCCATAACACAAGCCTTATAGTGCTTACTTTGGGGCTAGGCTAATTGGTGTGAGTGTAAAAAAAAAAAAAAAAAAGTTACCATCGTTCTTAAAGAGATTAAATATTTACAGATTCCGGAATAACTCAACCTTAATCAATTTAAACTAGTAACTTTTTCCCCAGTTTGCACTTAAACTTGGTTGTCATAAACACAAGCAAGAAATATCCCCTCACTTACCTTCTGGAGCTGGTGGTCTGGGTTGGTAATGTAAATCTGGAACAAAGGAGCCATAAATTATTACAAATATATTTAATTTTTATTGAATACCCAAAAATCGTATTGTAAATATTAAATAATGATAGGTGGCTATAACATGTGCAACTAAGGAGCTTTATGTTTTTAGGTCGATTTCAGTTAATTAAATGAAATTTAATTGTTTGACGTAGCATGTATACTAATAATCATGTGAATTAATACGCATGAAGTGAATTCTGGCAGTATTTTTTTTTAATTTTCGATGAATTCTTTAAATCCGATGAAAACATTTTTACTGAGACAAGAAGATTTCTTAACTTTTTTTTTATTATAAAGTTTAAATTTAACAACCTAATATCGAGTGTGACCTCTTCCTGCCAAAATCACAGCTTGAATCCTTCTGGGCATGCTTTCCACGATGTTTTTAATAACCTGTTGAGGAATCCGTTCCCACTCTTCGGCAATGACTCCTTTTAGCTTCCTGGCGTTTTGGCGTGGAGCAGGTTGCACTGATCTTAACCGTCTCTTTAGAACATTTCAGACATGCTCAATTGGACTGAGGTCAGAAGTTTGAGCTAGCCAATCTTTACGACGGATCCCAAGTTCTTGCATGTACGCTTCCACATCGTCAGAACGGTGCAGGCGAGCATTGTCGTCCATAAAAATTGAATCTTCCTCAAGTGCAGTCAATGCGGCTTGTGTATATATGGAATTAGAACTTCCGTTATGTAACAGAGTGCATTTAATGTTTTATTTTCTATGGAACCTAACTCCGTACGCTCCATCGAATTGCTGCCCAAAACATAACGGAGCCTCCGCCTTAAGAATAATTTCTTAGAAACAACACATTTCCGCATAGCGTTCCCCTGGTCTTCGCAGCACTCGCTTGCGTCGGTGCTCTCCACTCAAAGAGATTCTAGCTTTATCAGAAAACGATACTCTATTCCAGTCCTCCAGAGTCCATGAAGCACAGTTTCGAGCAAAGTGAGTTCGAGAAACACGGTGCTGATGGAGTAATTTAGGCAGGCCCCTGATATTGGCTGCCAAAATCCTCTTCTTGACCGTCCACAAGCTAACTTCTTCACCTATTACTTTTTCAAGGCTTTTTTTCAGAGCCATACTTGACGCCTTACGATTTCGTAGCGCCTGACTCAACGAAAAGTGGTAATCTCTTGGATCTGACAATCGTTTTCTTTACGAACTGGGTCTTCTTTTGACCAAATCGGTCTCTTGATACCGTTGTCAAGTCCTCTGGATAACTATCCGGTTAAATGTGAGTCGTTCAACGACTCACATTTAGCTGCTGAGACATGTAAGTTTGCTAGCAATCTTCTTCAAGTAGGGATATAATTTTACCGGTCCATATCGCTTTATTACTCATATCAGAAAGTGGTATTTAATGTAAAAAGAAAGATTGAATTATTTAATTTTCAGATAATATTCAGCATTTAATTAAGGTTTGTTTGGTTTTTTAAATTTCAAAGTTTTTAATTTAGTTTATTATTAAAATTTTAATATTCATTAAAAAATCGTTTTAGCAGTTCGCGCGATTAGTAAAGCAATTTTACAATAATCCACAATAATCATTATTTTTCTTTTGTTAATTTCAAATTTTTTATTTGGAACGCCAAAAAATCATGCCAGGCAGGATGCTTCAAATAACATGGCATTACATCATCAAATTAATAAAACCCTTTGTTGTAACATTCTTTGAAGTAGAAATAGTAGTAAAAAATCTAAAGTGCCCGTTTTTTGCAAAAGAGTTTATTAATTGCCATACTAAAGGTTTTAAACCACACAAAACAAGTTCCCAGGATTTTCATAATAAAATCAATAATTTCTTCCCAACTCACAACAATTAGTTAATCTCAAACTAAATAGAACGTCTTGTACTTTTTTTTTAATATCAAGAGTAGGATCTTCCTTCTGGTTCAAGAGATCCAAAAGAAATTACTAGATGAAAAGATTTTAATCATTATTCTTTATTGTTGTGTTTTTAAACCTCTGTTCGTAGGTGACAACAGGAGCACAACTTAGCATAGACCAAATTGATTTCGACTATTCCAGGGGTATGTATTTAATCCTACTCATATTATAAATGTGAAAGTTTGTATGTTTGTTACTCAATCACACAAAAACTACTGAACTTGATGAAATTTGTTACGCATGTAGTTTATGACCTGGATTAAGACACAGAACACTTTCTATACCCCATCAAAACGTTGTTGGTTCCTGTAAGATTCTCTAAAAATTTAAGTTAACGCGGACGTAGTCGCGGGTGGGCGCTAGTTAACTATAATATTTTGACGACCTCCGCAGCGGAGTGGTTTGTACGCTGGATTTCAACGTGTCCTACTCGAGAGGTCCCGGGTTCGAATCCCGGTAGGGGTAAATTTTTGTGTGATGAATACGAGCATTTTCACACAGTCATGGATTTTTTATATGTATTTCTATATAATTATACATACTTACATGTATCAGTATATATATATATATTATATCCGTTACCCTAGTATCCCATAGCACAAGCCTACAGTGCTTACTTTGGGCCTACGCTAATTGGTTTGACTATTGGAAATATTTATATTATATTAATATTATGAGCCTTATATTAAAGCTGAGACATTCTGGAAAATATTTATCAATTTTGGGTAACTTGACACGTACACTCAATAAAAAATAATGTCTCTTTAACAGCTCATCGCCTTATGACATTTTTATTTTATATAATCTGCATGGTTCTAATTGGCTACTATCGCATTCCTTAATTGCACAAGATCCATAGATCGCCAGACCTTACTTAGTTTCTGCTGTACAGTAAACGTATACATACTTGCTAACTTGTGCTGTGGGCCAATGTATCAGGTGGCACAGGCACGTAAAAATTTTACTCACTTTAAGACTGTAAGTCGGAGGAGTGATTTCTACGTATGTTGTAGAGAGTTATGTAAACAATTTGAAATTAATACTACCGGACACATTCTGTCAGCAGTTTTTATTGTCAGACACTTTTAATGTCGAAAACAAAATTATGGTTTTCAATCAACACTATCTATTGATTAAAATTATATGTGATTTATATTATCATTTTTCTCCTCTTTGTGCTTTTGTAAATGGTAGAACAAACCGCGACCGCTATAGTGGTCTCCCACCAACGTTCCCAACTGAACCGATTTAATTATATTAACCGTATAAAACTGGTTAACCATTCTCATTTAATGTTTACGTTTTATACCGCATGAAAAGAGGATAATAAACTAGGAATAAATTAAGTGTATATTTATTTAATCTCGCGAAAAATTCGCTTCCTTACATAATAACGCTTTATTAAATACCTTGAAACTTAGCCTGAAGCTGTTAATATCTAAATATAAGTAAAATCACAGATTTCTACATTAATTAACGTAATTTTTGATAGAGATCATCATTGCTTTTCTTAGATACGACAACATACACCGTGAGTTTTGAGTTACATGTGAAACTTAAAAGTCGTATAAATAAACCTATAGTTGTTTTTAAAGAAATATAACGATAAATTTTTGAATAAGCTAGTACTTTCTCCGCCAGCTCAAATTTCAAGGTGTATATTTATGCTATTACGAATTTTCTTTAAAACCGTAGCAACTTTAATCGCAACTTAATTTATTTTTGGTATTTTCCAAAATAATATTAGCCTTCTTCAGACGTTGCATTCGACTTACGAATTTTGCAATTCGGAATAAGTACAGTTTGCTCTGGTACTCGCACTTACTACGTGTTTTGTGTAAAATTGCAGCCTCTGCCCGCCAAGGTTCGCGGAGGAAAATAAATATTTTCTTTTGCGCAAGAAATATACCGTACACTATTCCTGCAAATGCGACTTACTTGAACGTGGCTTTATATTTTTAGTACCGAACTGAGAAGACGATAATTCTTTAATACCACACTACTTTTGTTATGAGAGGAATGTATAAAGTTTCCAGTTCTATTATTTCTTTGTTAAACTAATCACGTCTCACAATAATCTCATCTTGAGCTGGAAGTTTCTTTTGTATGTTAAAAGGCTAACAAACAAGCTATGGCTCGCCTAATGGCAAGCGTCTACGATAGCCTTTTGGCGCTTGCGATACAAAAAAAATCACTGGCACCGTCGCCTACCCTGACTCAATCCCCCTACCCCGTGGAGCCTTGGCACCTTACTCGCCGACAAAAACACATGACCAAAATGCAGTGTTATTTTACTGTGGTCATGTAGGCACTCCAATTTGCGCGGGAAATCCGCTATGCCCTACCTGTTCTTAAATGAACCCCGTAAACTAAAGGCTCCACACCGTAGTGTTTAGTAATAGTTATTTATTATACAAGAGTGGAAAGTTCCTTTTTAACCGCGTGCTCGATTTGGATGACCGAGCAAGCGAAGGATTCTAAAGTTGAATCACGAGCGCAGCGAGTGATTCTAAATTAGAATCCTGAGCGTCAGCGAGGGAAACAAACGAGCACAAGGTGAAAAATCTTTCCACTCGAGTGCAATACGTAACTTGTCATCCCACCTCAGCGAGGAAATGACAAAATGAAAAAGAAAACAATTTATAATGACAAAATATTTAAGCAATAAAACGTGAAAAACTAGAATGGCGCGAAGCACGCAAATAAAACAAAGAAACCAAGAAGGTTCCAAATTTAAATTTTTTCACAATTTAAAAAGTTCTAATCATAAATTTGGCACCATAGAGGTTACATTAAATAGGTTTAATGACGTTTTGAATTTACAATTATATTGAGTACTCATTATATGTGATGTTCTAAATTCAAATCTACTTTGCCGCTCAAGCGAATAAAATAGAATTTTCCAGCCAGATTTCGAAGCGCAAAATTACACTTTCCGAGGTGGTGGGATGAAAAATATATTTTATAATTATATCTTGTAAAAAAGGGAAATTCTTTTATGTCACTTTAGTTATTTTTTGTTGTTACATATATCTACTACAGAAATAGGTTGCGAGCTACCAACCTCATCATCAGCCTATTAATGTCCCCACTGCTGAGGCAGAGGCCTTCCCTATGGATGGAATA